AAAATTCACGTAGACAAAACTTAGTATAGTTAAAGCACTGCTGAAAAATAAAAAGGACTTGCCCTACCAGATAATGGACATATGAAGTACAGTGATTAAGACTAGAATATTGGCATAGAGATTTATCGACAAACTAGCTGACAGAATGGAATGGAACCTAAAACAGAGCAATGCCAACGTGGCAGATTTATAGAGAATGTGGAGACTACTCAATAAAAAGGAAGTAGAGAAAATAACTATCATATGGAAAAATATGAAATTGGATTCCCCTAAATCATCCACAGATGAACTAAGGACTTAAATGCCAAAAACAAAATGTTAAATATTTTAGTGGAAACATAGGTAGTTGTTCTGACCTGGGTGAGGTGTTTCATTAATAAAGATCGGAAAAGCACTAACCATAAAAGACAAAACTGATAAATTTAAGAACTGTTATTGCTTAAAAGAATTCTTACACAAAATGTGGCATGTTTATTCAAACTGGGAGACTATGTTTGCAACATACATAAAGAACTTTTACCAAACCAATATAAAAGCACAAATAACCAAATAAGACAATAAACAAAAGATATGATCCGGTATTTCACAGAAAAAGAAATATATATGGCTAATAAACATGTGAAGAGATGCTTGGCCTCATTCTTAAACAGGAAAATACAAATTAAGACCACATAAACTAACATTTTATATCTGTTCAACTGGCAAAAATCTAGAATGATAATATTGAGTTCATGGGAAGATGTCGTTTGAAAGGATCTCTTATGTAACAGTGGTAACAGTATAAGTTAGCATAACAACTTTACGAGATAATGCCAAATTGTTTACTGAAGCTAAACATTCACATGTTCTATAACTCAACTATTTCACTGCTGGGGAAACCATACACCAGATACATGAATGAGAATAAAAATGTTTAAAGCAGCAATGTTTATAACACCAAAAAACTAGAAGTGACCCAAACGCTCACTAACAGGAGAAAGTGTGGTATATTCACATAATGAAACAGTAGATCACGGAGAAAAAGAATGGACTTTGACTTAGGTTGATGTGTGTGGATTTCAGTTGCGTCAAAAGAGTAAGGTCCAAATGACCGCAAATTGCATGATACTTAGAAAGTTCAAAACGCTGTATCTCATTTCTAAAAAGCAATGATAAACACAAAATTTAGCAATGTTTCCTTCAGAGTGGAGAGGTTCAGGATACAGAAGTTCACCCAGGTATTAAAAGTTATTTCCAGTGTTCGTATTTTTCAAAAAAAAAAAAAAAAAAATGGCGGTTTCCTTAGGAATTATAACATTATTAAAACATATAAATAAATTAGTGTAAATAAAATAAAACAAGCATGCATGGACCAATGATGACTATGTCATGAACTAAAGATTATGATTTAATCTAATTCTATGCAACTAGAGTCCCTCAAAAATTAAATGAAACAAACAATCCATCCCTTTTAAAAAATCCTCAATGTTTCTGCATTGCATTGGGCCTCTCATGGGCTTTAAAATGTAAGGTCTAGATGCTCCCTGTATCTTCATTTCTTCAACATAATGGAAGGAAAGAAGGGAGAAAGGGAGGAGGGAAGGAGGAAGGAAAGTGAAATAAAAAAGGAAAAGGCTGCTGGACCAAGTGTTCTTAAGCTAAGCAAAGCTCCTCTGACAATGACAAGTCATTCTTGAAGTTAGGATCCAAAACAAGTGCTCTGCAAACTCCTCTAACACTGGCATAGTTCTTGTGTATATACTTCCCTTTTTTATTTCTTCTGGAAAATCCCAGACCTTCACTATCCAACAAAGCAACCCTTAGCCACATGTAGCTATTAACTAAAAGGTAATAAAGTTACAAATTCAGTTGTTCAGTCACCCAGTCTCATGCCAAGAGCTCAAGACTATGTGTGGCTACTGGCGACCATATCAGACATCACAGAGAGAGAACATTTCCACCATCTCGGAATGTTCTATTGGACAGCGCTGCTGTAAACCCGTCTCAGTTGAAAAGAGGCAGAGGAACTTGTTCGCACTCAAGCCAGGATGGAAGAGTGCTGGAAAGTCTAGGGGTTCCTAGAGCAGATCACAGATGACAGCAGACAGAGAGCTAAGCCTCTTCCGTTGCCACACCAGGCCCAAAGCAGACAGCACTTCAGGCAGGGACAGGAAGTGATCAATAAGGACAACAGGCTCAGAGAAACCTGAAACCCTTTCACTCTGACCCCTGGCTGGGGTCTCTGGAAACTCTCCCAGGGAGGGTGGGGACAAGTGTTTGTCAACATCTCAGCTGACTGCTGTTCCCTTCCCTCACCCTAGTCCTTCTTCCCTGCTAGTACCCACCTGTCCTGCTCTTCAGGGAGATTTTGCTTTTAAGATGTACCTCTGGGGAAGATCAAAGGAGCTAGGCTGAAATATGTCTGAGTGTTTGAGTGCTCCCAAGCACAGCAGCACCGCAGGAATTCAAGGCATTGCAGCTGCCATTCGATTTGGAGCACCGGGGGAGAAGAGGGGTATAGTCTGCCCCCTATCAACCCACACCTTAAGAGGCAGGAGGTAAGCCTCCCCCTGCAGGTGAGACCTTGCCCTAACTAGGATCTACATGCTGATTAACCCTTGCTCCCCGTGCTATCAGCCAGGACCAATGACCATGGACCATCACAGGAGGAGAGCCCTTAAGGTAGTGAATGCACAGAGGAGGAAACTGAGACCCAGGGTGGGAAAGGAGCCAGAGCAAGTGCACATAGCTAGGCTGCGGCAGGGCAAGAAAAAGGCTGCCAAATTTCCTGACTCCCATTCTTCCCACTAGGCAAGTTGGCAGCTTCTGTGGAGAGCTCTGCCTCCTTAGGTCTGTGCTATCATCCCTTTCTGACCATCAGTGATCCTGATCCGCTCTTCTACCACAGGCCCCGGCGCAGAACATAAAGATTTAAGGTGAAATTTGTGCCAGAGGGCAAAGCAGCCTGAACAGGGGTTGGGCTTGGCATACAGTCAGGTTCAGTAGGTTCAAGACCTTTCCTGGAACCCAGACTCCCTTTCTGCTCTGAGGAGATACCTGGAACAGGGGAGGGGAGTGGCCGCCCGGGACAGCTTGTCCAGCCCAGAAATAATGGTAGGACCACAGATCAAGTGATCAGTGGGCTGGAAGGAT